CTCTGGAGCCCCGAGAAGGGGAGAACTGATTCTTCCCTCCACTTCCCTCTTTCTTTGTAGTACTCTTCCTGAGGTCAATGAGCCCAGGGTCACAGGCTTTTTAAAGTAATTCACGTAGTTTTCTTCGTTCTATAATTAAAAAATAATAAACAATAATAAACAATTTTTTTTCACCACGTTTAAATAATAATAGAATATTCACTTTTGAAATCTGTTCAACTCCTTAGAAAGACTATCATTTTGACCCAATATATCTCATTTTCCGTAAAAGATATCAAAAAGTGGTCAACTGACAAAATATTTATCATAACATGAGTGTCATTTTATTATGTGACTACATTTTGATATCTTTCACAGGAGCCGAGTTAAATTGGCTCAAAGTTGAAAGTTTTATAGGGAAATTCTATTAGGGTGTTTACGGTATCTGGTTTCAGTGGTTTATTTTGTATCACAAATATCTTTACATAAATCTTTTAGACTTTGTGTTTTGCAGCTTTTGAAGATATCATATCTGATGGTAGATAGTTTTTGGTTCTTCTTATTTTTCAGTTTCTGTCAAAAACTGAAAGCCCCCAAATTACAGTAGCCTTGCATAGTTTTTCCTCCTGTTTACATGAACCCAAAGCCTAAAAAAGAAGTTTGACATGGGGAGAGAAAAGGTACTTTTCTCATCCTTATTCACTCATCATCGCAATGTGTTGTTTTTAGTGCACATCACAGGAGAAACGACAACACCAAGTGCTCCGCCGATCTTAAGCCTCACAACGCATTCCACTCGCTCGCTGTCGTCTGTGGAACTTTGAAGATCCCAAGAACAACAAAAAGGAGAACGCATCCGCCCTTGAAAGCATAGTTGTCCTTCTGAGAACATTGTGTCGCCTCTGACCGAGTTGCTGCTGCTGGAATTGTGCCAATAACCCGCTCAAAAATATAGAAAAAAAAGGCAAAAATAGACTAAAAAGAATATTTCGATGTGTATTCTTTGTCGTATTTAAGTCGACTAAACGAAAGTTCTGTTTGAGGACTACAGTAGTCTCCGAGATTTCTTATAGGGCTATCGAACTGAAAGTTTTACATCGTCATTAACTTTGATGTTAATTTCAAAAGGGATTCCGAATGCGTAGTATATGATATTATTTGTGCGTATTCAAATCGTTGTCTCTTCTGTGTATCATATTCTTCAAGAGATAGAATGGATTCGCAAAGTTGAACAAATTGTTTTCATTCAGATGAGGTCATCGTTTTCCCAATGACAATTAGTAATAGAAATTCGTTAAAAGATGGGCTCTATACCAGCATTGTTTCTGAAATATTCAACATCCAGTCAGCACGAATTATTCCGAGGAGCTGAAAATTGCCCTCCAATTTATTCCGTCTGATTTTCAGTGGACTGAAAATTTTTTCATCAATTTCCCAATGACAATGAAGTGCCACTAAGGCTAAAATTGGGGTTATCGGAAATCCGTTGAAGGATAGATGGTTTTTAAATGTTTCTGGGGACTGAAAAAAAAAAAAAAAAAAAAGAAAATGTTTCTGGGGACTGAAACATTTTTTCTATCCCTCCCAATTTGGGAAAAAAGTTCTTCATGGGTCATAGGTTTTTTCTTCGTTTTCCAATTGAATGAGTTTCAAACGCGGATGTTGACCAAAAAATGTTAAAAAATAGTTTGAAGGGGCAATACATAAATATGAATGACACTTCCAAATTCAAGGTTGCAAGAACCAAAATGGCAGAAAATCAACATTTTTGTGGAGATTTTGGGGAGAAAGAAGGAAACCACAAATTACCATGCGCCTTCTTCCTCAAACCCCATTCCGAGGAAATGTTTTTTTGTTGATTGTGGATCGAAAAGAAATAAGATGAAAAAAAGAGAAGAAATCAAATCGAATAGGTCACAATCGCAAGGTCTCTCTCTCTCTCTTTCCGGATGGTTTTGAACCAATTAGCCATTCCATACATCCTCTCTCGTGTCACTAATTTAATTCGAATCATCACTCCAAAAAACTGCAAAAAACCGCAAATACAAATACTCTTTTCTCGAATTGGACAATCTGGATTAGTCCTTTTTTCGCATCTGCAGCACTACACAAGAATTATAATTTAGGACAATTTTGGGTTTTGAACAACTCAAATTGGATTTTGAATTGGAAACTTCCACAATTCAGGGAAATTCACAGGGTGTCGCACAATCACCCGGACGGAGAAAAACGAGTGTATTTTTGGACATAAGTATCTTAAGAGATTCGAAGCAAGAAAATTGGTAGGAATATAGTTTTACGTTGGATTCAAAGCTACGGATATTTTTGAAGCGATTCTTTAAGTCTAGGTATTGTTATGGATGTCTAAAGATGAACGGCGCAACGTTTCTTGAACGCCGTTGTGACATCCATGAGATGAAGCAACTTTGACAAGCGATAATTCCAGTCAAAGTCAATAAAACGATTCGAAACTTCGCCAGTTTACAGATGAGTTATTTGAATTTTAGTACTCCGAATTCGAGCCCGATACAACGCTTTACTCAAAGTTTACAAACTTTAGTCCGGGGAATTATGCGCCATCCATTATGCATCAAAGCAGACAATCGAAACCAGATATTTGAGGATTCTAGATATTTTTAGTCCCAAACTAGAAATTCGAATACTGAGAATCATTCTGACATTTCAAAATCTGATTACCTCCGTTGTTCTTACAAGATTCCTTTACAGTACACTTATAAAAAAGCCAATTGCGTAATTTTTTGGTATTCGGAGAATTTCGAGGACATCAGCTGTGTAGCTAGAAGCTTTTGCTGTCCGTGAACACTTTCACCTCTCTCGTCGTTCTTTTTTCCTCAGTGGCGGTACTTCAGAAACAGGTGATTCGTTTTTTTTTTCTTTTGGATTTGATCTTGTGGTTTTGGAGTGAACATTGAAACAAGAATTCGAGGAATTGAGGGTATTCTTTGATTTTTTTTTTGGTAGGAAAATGGAAAAAGTGAGGAATCTTCTATCAGAAATCAACCAAGTTTTCAAAACTTAGAAAGATTGTGGATGGAATTCATAACTCAAACAATTCGATACCGTTAAACCTGTAATAGAAAGGAATAGACGTTGTAAAGTTTGAGCTAATTAATCTCAATTCATATGCAAGATATCAAACCAATTGTAAAATGTTTGCGATATTATGATATTCAACTCATCTCATAACTTTCTCATATTTTTGACAGAAACCGAGAAAAGTTGGCTCAAAGTTGAAAGTTAGTGAGCCCTTCTATTACAGGTCTTACGGTACTCCAAGTGCGTTTCTTTATAATCCTACGTTCCCCAGTACTACATCTTTTAGGATTTTTACTCTTACCATATCTGAATCTTATATCTGAATATCCAAAACTGAAAACTACTGTAACATCATTGGTGTTAAATGCCCACCGTTTGTGATCCTACACACCTAATGCCTTCCAAATATTTTACACATTTGTATACAGAAGAATCACACATTTTCGGTCATAACATATTCCGCAAATCACACAAATTTACGTACTACCTCCCTCTGATTATCGCACCTCTGGCGCCTTTTTATCAACATTAACACCGAAGTTCGTTCGAAAATTTTCTTTGGGTGTGGTCAGGGGGAGGCAAAATGAAGAACAAGACGATTTTCGACATGTTTTTTATTATCACAGATTTCGTATATGATGATTAACGGTGATCATGATTCTTATAAGAAAACTTCCGGAGGTTAAAGTTTAGGATATCTTATGGTCGGTTTTCGGTTTTCCAGCGGGTTAAAGAAGCAGAAATTTACAAAATTTTTCCTTTTAGAATTCCATCCTATGCGTTCACTTTGATCTCAATTAACTCGGGTTCTTCAAAAAATATCAAAAAGTGATAAATTATTTATCATAAAATCCCCAATATTTGATCAGTTGACAAAATCAGGATATCTCTTACAGGGTGAGTTTTTATTAGAGCAAATACGGTATAAGATTCGAGGTGTAAAATATTGATTTTTCGGATTAGTTATTCGAAAATTCAGAACCAGAAACATTACTTGAAAACAAAGTTTTAGATAGGCCTACAAATAGATTGAACGGTTGAATAACAACCGATTGAAAACTTATACAACGAAATCGGAAGAAACATGATTCTGAAGTTCCCTGCCGAAATCAATTGGCTACAAAGATCGTCTCATCTATCGAGTGTTCGCTGATTATCCCTTTGTTTTTCCTTATCTCAGTTCTCTATTTTTATCATATCACCCCCCCCCCCCCTAGTTAACAGGATAACAAATAACCGGTAACTGTTTTCGGCGCCATTCTGACGACATGACGAAAAAACTACTTTGAACTCGGCGGACGTCTTCTTAGTTCCTTCTTCATGTTAGAGGTTGTGTTATCAATTAAGTTGTTGTTATCAATTAAGTTATCAATTAAGTGTGTTATCAATTAATTGTACGGTGGTGACAAAAAGACAAAGATGGAATGCGGCTATGATCGATTTGATCAAACACACATTCCATTCTTTCATCTCTCATTCGACCATCCATTATCGGCATTCATTTTTTATATATCCTTTCTAAAAGAGAAGACGTCACAAAGAAGAAAAGCAATAGAGATAATGCGTTTCTCTTGTTTAAATAAAAAGAGAATTGACTGGTCAAATGTGATTTATTGATTGGTGGTTTCAAGGAAAATGAACCGATTGGGATTTCGAAGACATGTGATGAACCCATTATGTAGTTCTTTTTGCCGTATTCGGATGAAAAGACTGAAGATTAGATTCGGAATAGTTTATTATATACAGAAACAGTTTTTAAAAACAATAATAATAAGTACATGAGACCGAAGGAGGTATGAGAGAGGAAAATTGGTGACCCGTCTTAAAAAGGATTTTTTGTTGATTTTTTAGTTTTTGAGTGGTTGATTGGGGGAATACGTTTGGGTTTCACCCTAGTGGTTAGTTTACAGAAAGAGAGTAACTATATACAACAACATAACAAGGGAATACCTACAAGAGAGAATCTAGGAAGAGAAGACGGATGTGTCCACATTAGCTTTGTATCCGAACGTCTTTTTCATTTCTTGAACGAATGGGTTGGTGCAATCACAGCATACGGAGCAGAGCATTCCCATTGGGTATCCCTTGTTGTCGGTGCACCCATTCATTGGAACAAAGATTTGATTGCAGGCCTTGTTTTCAAGAGAAGCAGACATGGCAGCATAGGAACCGTCATTTGGAATTGGTCCGGTGCATCCGAGCATTTGGCACGATGGTTGGGAGACATTGTCGAAGTTGGCTCCGGCTAGGTAGGTCAACGCTGGATTGGCAACTGGAGCAGAGGCGGACGCTTCTCCGAAATAGTCGACATCAGAAGAATCAGAGGATTCAGCAGATTCAACAATTTCATCTGTTCTTTGGGTGGATGGCTCAGCAGCCATGACAGCGGCATCTTCAGAGTCAGAGGAGATGAATCCACCGGTGAATTCTGGAGCGATTCCTTCTGGTTGTTGAAATTCTGGCTTCATTTTCTTTTGTCCTGGAAGCTTCTCAGTCTTCTTTGGAGCCATTGTTTCTACTCCATCCATGTCGACATTGGCAAAGTGTCCATCACCCATTGAGCCCAAGAAGAGATCAAGGTCGAAGTCTGTAATAGAGAAAATTGAAATTCGAGTTATCTTTTTTATATAATTTCCCTGATAGAGTGTTCTAGTTGAATTATTTCAGAGAATAAAGAAAAACTAACCATCAGAAGATGCAGGCTTCTCCATTGGCTTTTCCATTGGCTTAGAGACAGCGAAAGAAACAAAGAAAGCAGTGACGATCAATAGGGAAATGTTCATTTTTGAGTGTGAAAGAGAGGGTTTCTAAAAATAGAATTCAAGGGGTGTTCAGTGTTTTCTCAGAGTACAGTGAGCGTACCCTCGCCTCCTTAAATATCGTTGCGGTAGTCGTTGATCGCGCACGCCGCCGCCCAGTCGATCCAAGTGGGCGGAGCTTAAACAAAATCTGGGGGTAAGAACATGGGCGGTGCGAAATTGGGGAAGAAAAAGATAGAGAGGGGGGAGAGATCAGGAGAAGGACAAAACGGAATCTCGTGAGATCATGCGATTAGGTTGATAATGTTTGTTTTAGGAGAAAAAAGAAATGATGAGAGAAAAAGGCAGATATCCATGCATGGTCATCTCAGCTATAGCTAGAGGATAAAGAATGATTGAAAGTGAGTGATCACACACGTTCGAAACGTCATTAGAGAAGGACATATGACATAGATAAAGGGCTTTTTCTCCTTTTTTTAATCTTTTTCGGAACTATTTATCTAGTTTTATTTATACGGATTTTCACGTGAAGTCGGTAAATCAGATTAGGGGATAGAATCGTATTTGAACAGATGTCTTGTCAGAATATGCTATGATACGTATCAGAAAATGAAGGAGCTGTATTTCAGAGTGTTGTAGAATGTTGTCCGTGTTCATTTTGTCTACACCTTAAACTTTAGAAGACAGCAAACCGAAAGTTCGGAACTTCAACTACAGTAATCCTTGCCTGTATTTTTTCAATTTTCTTTTTCTATTGGTTTACCTGGCTCTTGCGTCTACTGTACAGAATTCAATTTTTGCCGAGCTTCCTCCATTTTTACTCAACTTTGCTCAAATTCAGTCTAATTACGGCGGGTAATCTGAGCACCCTTTGGAGCACTGCAAAAAGTAAAGAGGTACATCTAACTGTCCATTGAAAAGTACCGCATTTGCTCTCGTAGACCGCTCTCCAAACTTTCAATTTTTAGCTCCATTATCTCACTTTCTATAAAAGATATCAAAGTTTGGTAAACTGATAAATTATTTATCATAATACCATTAATATTTTATTTTTGATACATTACATAGGAGTCGAGATAATCAAGCTCAAAGTTGAGGAAATACGGTAGCCGGAAAGTTGGAAGAATTCTCAAACTTCTCCAAACCATCAATTTTTGCTGAAAACTAGAATTCAACCCGACGACTAGGTGCAGCTCTTTTTTCCTGTCTGTATAGCAATTGTATTCAAAATTCCCAAATTTCACATACACAATACCTCAAATTCAATAAACCAAAAAAACATTATGGTTCAATATTTTTCAGTTCATACGAAGCTTGGAGAAAGACTAAAATCTAACGTTCAAACTTTTTTTTAAATCTCAGGGCGCACAGACACATTAAAATGCCATATTCGATCAGGAATTCGGGTTAGACCCTATCTCATTTCAAGATCAACATCGTCTTGACCTCTCGAGAGTTTCGAAAACATTGACGACGTCATAGATGTACTTTTTACATGTCCTTTTTTTTGGGTTTATTGAAAAACTCAAAAATACACATTCAATAGATGGATCACTAAAACAATTGGAATAGACAGACAGAAGATTTCGATAAGAAGAGATAGGCGATGGCGCCAGAATGGAGGGGCACAACCGTAACCGAACATTGGGAAGAAGCCATAGGGAGAGACAGAGAAGAAATAGTCTTTGGCCCAACGAAAAAAGGTTTGTTTTATCACGAATTAATCTCTCCATGTCTTCTTTTTTCATTCCTCCATATTTCACTTTTGATCTATTCTTTGACCCATCAGAACCAGTTTCTTGTTTTTTTTTTCACTCTCATTTTTTGGTAGTCGCTACCAATCAAAGTGAGGAATTGGGATGTGGAATGTGAAATTCCATAAAATGGTTTTTGCTTGACTATTTTTTTTTCCAATTTTCAGTTCAAAGAAATGGTTTCAAGAATCAAAGTTTTATTTATACAGACCTGTGATTTTGGGGCAAAAAAGCGAGCAGAGTGGGGGAAAATATTTACATGAGAGACCGGCGAAATTGGCAATCGAACCCGTATTCGATTGTTTTAAAAGAAGGGAAAAATATACAGAAGCAAAAAGCAGTGTGAGCAATGAATGTACAAAATGGACAACAAGATGATAGGAGATGAGGGGTCAGAAGAAGACGTTGCTTAGTTGAATGTTGAAGTTGGAATGTTGGATTTGTATCCGAAGGTCTTCTTCATCTCCACAACGAATGCGTTGGCACAATCACAGCAGACTGAGCACAGCATTCCCATTGGGTATCCCTTGTTGTCGGTGCATCCATTCATTGGAACGAAAATTTGATTGCAGGCCTTGTTGTCCAAAGTAGCAGAAAGAGCGGAGTATGAGCCGTCATTTGGAATTGGTCCAGTGCATCCGAGCATTTGGCAAGATGGCTGAGCAATCTTCTCAAATTCAGCTCCCTCGAGGTAAGTGGCAGCTGGGTTGGTGACTGGTCCGGCAACAGCAGATCCAACTGAAGATTCTCCGAAGTAGTCCTCATCGGTCTCCTCATCATCAGCAGCTTTGGCAGCTGACTTTGGCTCTTCTGTGACGAAGGATCCAGTCATCTTTGGAACAACTCCGTCTGGTTGCTCAAACTCCTCCTTGATTTTCTTTTGGCCTGGAAGCTTTTCGGTTTTCTTTGGAGTCGTTGGAACGACTCCATCGAAATTTCCAGTTCCATCAGCGAAATGTCCATCTCCCATTGCACCAAGGAAAAGGTCAATATCGAAGGAGTCTAAAAACAAAGAACAGTTAAAGAAAGTTCAGAAAATTAGAGAAAAAAAACTAACCATCTGGTTTCTCAGTTGTGGTCGTGGTTGGTTTAGAAACCACGAATGAAGTCATGAAGACAGCAGTGAGGAATAGAGAAAAGTTCATGTTTATTTCGAGTGTGATGTTTTTTCTAAAAATAGAAAGAAGAAGTGAACACTTGAAGTGAGGTACAATTTCTTCCTTGTCGTCCCTTAAATATTGTCGTCCGTGTAGTCGTTGATCAGAGACGCGCGCACGCCGTCCTTCCCCAAGTGGGGGCGGAGTTTCAGTGGGGATGGGCGGGCCCTAAAAGGGGAAATCTCGTGAATTATCATAAGATATGAGGTGTTTACATTCCATGGGTCTAGATAACACAAATCTCTAATCATCAGCTGATGAGATTTGATACGATATCTTCTTCATGAAGTTTCTAATAGGCGGAGACGTTCTGTTCGTGTTCATATCCGTTCGCGCGCTGGTTTTTTCTATCACCCAGCCGCCGCGGGACGAAGTGTTAATGACGACGCTTATCAATTATATCTTATCACTTATCCCCTTTGGGCTAAAGATAGAGATGAGGATGACACGGGGATAGGAGAGTGTCTCGTGATGAAGTGACATCGCGGCAAAAAGTCTCACGAAGATTAATGAGATTGTTAAGGATCAGAAAGAGATATTCGTCTTACGACAGTGTGTGAAAAATGATGTTTCAAGTTAGCTGGACATCAGGTGGATCATGTGGAACTGTTTTTTTTAATACTTCGTTAACACTTCTTCCTTCTTTGACCAAGTTTTTGATTCGTATATCATAAACACTCTAATAGAGTTATCCTGTAACTTTATGCCAATTTTTCTCGTTTGTCGTTAAACATGTCAAAAAGTGGTCAACTGACAAAACACTCATCATAATATCAAAATTATATTGCCAGTTGACAGTACCGTATTATTTGTAACGGAGACCGAGATAAATTGGTTCAAAGTTGGCGGTGTTAAACATTTTAACACAGTGTTTACGGTGGATGGTCACTAACAAGAATTTGAATTCGGGGTTTGTATTTCAGTGGTCAGCTCTGTATTTTTTTTGTTGGAAAAACAAATTGAGTGTTTTCAAATTCTGTTGCAAACAAATATTTGTTCAGAATACTTTATGGCTACTATCTAGATGAACATCTCTAGTCTTCCCTTCAAAAGTCTTCCCTACAAATCTTCCCTACAAAAAAATGTGCTTGTAAACTTATCTAAAACAAAGAGCTAGAGCTCGCATCAAACTTTCTTCGAATGTCCAAAACCGATTTTCAGATTTTTCGTTCCCAAACCAATTTATGAAACTTTGTAACTTCCTTATCTTTCGTTCTGTGACCACTGTCTTCTAGACATTTCCATATGTTTTGAAGGTATTCTTCTTCTTTATTTTCACGTTTTTCTTTCTTTCACCAAGATCCTTTCATGTTTTCTGATCCTTTCCCTTCTACTCTCCAACAATTTCAACCATTTCAAGGCCACGATCACAGTTGGATATTTATTTATAGGACTTCGGAGGGGATATCACTATCACCTCCTTGTTTTAACTATCTGATAAGGAGCGACAAGGAAGAAAAGAGAAATGGAATGTTGTAGTTGTACTTCCATTTCGAAGACATGTTAGTTTGGTCATTTCGAGGTGTCGTGTAGATCAGTCTCAAGGTAGTTAGAATTTCTTCTGATATCAGTCAGACAGATATGAATTGGATGGGATGTTTTAAGGAATGTCTGTGAAAATGGATACGGTCGTTGTCGGCACGTTCCACAGCTAACGAGGCGTCCGTTAGTCGAACCCACGTCATCAGTCATAAGCGATTTGATCAATCATTTTCGAATAGAATCTCGAGTAATCCAGATGACCTGAAGACAGTCCAAAGGTTGATCTGCTATCATATTATTTTGTTTTCGACTGTTCTCATTATACCTAAACTGTACTTTGTGAAAAAAAAAAATATTTTTTCTTCATGCAGGAACTAAATTTTTTAGAAGAGAGGATTTTGAATAATGTCTAAATGACAAAATACTTTGATTTCAAAGGATTCAAAAATAAAGAGAATAGTTTTGTTTACTCCAAAAAACTGTATTTTTGGTCTGAAAAACAGTCTCCAGACGTTTTAAGTACCCAATTTCGTCGTCTCCAATTTCTTCCTAGTAACGAAGGCAAAGATCTTATTAGAATTGATCACAAACAACCCAATCTGCCATTAGTCTGATGAATGTGTTATTGCAATCAGACGAAATTCCGCTATCTGTCACTTTCAGACCGTGTTTTGCATTTGTAGAAGTTTTTGGGTGATGATAATTTTGCATTGGAGGTTTTATTATATGTACATCCACTTGTGATTTGAGTTGGACTTGTAATGTTGGTGTAGGTGGAGATGTTTTTTTCAGAAGATGGGGGTACTTGAATATAGCAGAATATGATGACCTATAGATGACGTGAGAGGAGAAAACGGGAATCGGTGTGAACTTTGAATTTTGAATGGTCACTGAAAGAACAGATTCTAGTAAGTACAGTCTACTAGAAGGTCTAGAGTAGTCGTTAAAAATTGAATTCAACTTTTTTTCTGAAATTTTGAAAATTTCGGAATTTTCAAAAATTCAAATTTTAATCTAGAAATTTTTCCATCATAAAAACTCCGAGAATAGGTGAAAAAAGGACAAAAATATTTTGAAAACGCAAAAAATTGGAAATCGACATACCGTAGTCCAAAAACCTCGAATTCCGAAAAAAGGCTTTGGAAAAATTCCGATCAGAATTTGATTCTTAAAAGAAGCTTCGGAAGCGGAATTTCGAATTCTGTTCCGAACATTCCTGAACACACCCAGCCCGTCAACTGTGAGCTCAATTATCTCTATCCCTGTGAAAGGTATCAAAAAGTGGTCAACTGATGAATTATTTACCATATATTCACCAATATTTTACTAGTTGACCTGTTTTTCGATATCTTTTACAAGAATCGAGATAATTGAGCTTAAAGTTAAAGGTTTAGCTGGACTTCTATCATTGGAAATACTGTAAGCCTCCGTTCTCGACTTCACTAATCTTTCCTTGAAGTGTTCGTGAATCTGATTGTACATAGATCGCGTCTAGCGTAGCTGATCTCTCTTCTCTATTTCTCTTTCGTCTCCCCCATCTGACCAATTAATCAGTCTTTCTACACGGTCGTTTATAACCCCAAAAAGGGGGGGGGGGAAGGCAATCTGATCTGAAATGAAAGACTAAATGATCGTATGAATTATCACTACAGTTATCACTTCTACTATTTCTCTTTTCGTGTGTGACCGCTTTCCTCGTAAGCGACCAATCACCACAGATATTGTTTAAGAAGATATGATATGATTCAGCGAAAAGTGTCAAAAACAAACTGATAAGGGGAGTGATATATAGAGGAATGCCCCCTGATTGTACGAAGGACAATGTGATTTTGATGAAATACATGGGAAAAACATGATTTCAATGGTTTTAACAAGTTGGGCGCCCAACTTCTACTTCTGTCTAATTGGACCTAAGTCATGCGTATGTGTGTGTATGTGTGTGTTCGTCTGACCGTTGGACTAATTTCAAGACAGAGGACGAGAACAGAGAAGAGATATGAAGGGATTGGTATTCGTGGAATGTTATGGTTACCAGTGACGTCGAACAAAAAAAACGAGGGAGATGGGAGAAACGGCAAGCTAGCCAGATACAACATCTGGCTTTTTGACGAACTGTTTGTTGAGTCATTGCAAGAATGTTTATGTTGGGAGTACATTAAGAAAAACAAAAAAGAAATTTCGAACCGGGAAAATAAATTGACAACTGAAAAACTGAACCTGAAAAAAATAAGAGCTTCAGGTTACCCTTTGTACCATTTGAAAAATTTCAGATTACCGTAGTTATATTATTTTCAGATTGCGGTAGTTATATTATTTTCAGATTACGGTAGTTATATTATTTTCAGATTACGGTAGTTATAATGTTACTAATTATCAGAAAGGCATTAAAGACGCAGATTTTAAACGTGCAGATATATTGTAGCAAATCAAAATAACACCGTATGTCCTACCACAAGTCCATCCAGACCGTCAAATTTGAGTTCAATTATCTCAATTACTCTTAAGGATATCAAAAAGTTGTCAACTGATAAATTGTTTCATGATATCGAAAATATTCTTTCGGTTGACATATTTTTAGTACCTTTCATAGGAATCGAGATAATTGATCTGAAAGTTAAAACTTAGGCGGACCTTCATAAAATTTTTATATCTTTTGATGGAAACGAGATAATTGAGCTCAAATTAGGCGGGGGCTTCTCTCAGAGGAAATACAGTGATAGCAGAGGTTTTGATTTTTTACAGACAGTCTCGACAGTTTGAGAATGAAAATATCTTCCACGGAACCTTCCCAAACATTCTTCAGATTTTCAATCATCTGTTAAAAAATCTAAATTTACTTCCTCATTTCATCATCATCAAAAATTGCTCTTTTCTCAAAACGATTAATTCAGACTGAAGAATACGACATTTCACAGCGTCATGAATCTTTTTCCTCGTTTTTTTCCGTATCTAAATTGTCATAGCGGCGTGCTTTCGCGCCTGATAACCCAATGCATCCATCATCAATCAGATCTTGGCCGCACAGGCCGACGATAGAGACTCCTCATTCTCAGTTCACTTTTTCTCTCTATTTCTCTGAAGGCGTGAATCACAAGAATCCGACGACGTGTGCCAACGCTACCTACGTGAAGATGAGAGCCGTCACTACCGATTAGGTTGGATCTTGTTTCGAGAGGATTCCATACCAGGGAATGGGATATTTCATTGGGTGTGGTGGGAGAAGGAAAAGTGCCACGTCAACAGGAGTAAAAATAGTAAAGTTGGCATACGATACATTGATCGGGCGATGTGTACTCGAAGACAGTGTCTTATCGAATTACATATCCCCACCACCACTATCTTCTGATATTATGTGTAATTCGATTAAAAACACAAGATCACTTTTCGACTGTCTAACCGATGGACTTCCCCAAAAATAGTAAAAACAAAATATTTTAATTGAATCTGATCTTGGTAGTGATCTCGAGAAATCCCAATTTCTGATTGGAGATTTCTATAGGTTTTCAGAAGACATTTTACATGTTATAGTTCAACAATTGATTCATCTTTACGATCTGCAATTCCTCAACACAATCTGTACCAAACGTTCGGAACAGTTCGACGAATCAACCACATATATCCTCCAAGTGTCAAGACTGGAGAAGTGTGATAAAAATAGATTGGACAAGTAGTTGCGAATTATGGCGCCTCGCGGACGATGTCGATCTATCTTCGATATGGGTACGGAACATTGTTTTTGAATATCCGACGCCTTGCTTCAAGGCGACACCGCCGCCGACAACGTCAGAGGTATTTGGTTCCAATAACTTCACACTAACAGAAGACAGACGGATCTGGATAGAAAATGATCAAAGTAGAATATTCGTGTCGAAAAGGAGAATAGAACTGCGATTTCTAGAAAAACAGAGAGGATTCATGAGCACTATTAAAAAAAAGAAAAACATAGTTTGGGGTTCCTAATTTATAGTTTTTTTTCAGATTAGATCGCTGAATTTTAAAACAAAATATCGAAGAGTTTGAGTGTACTGGCTTCAAGAGCTCATCAATTTCCAAATTATAATTGTGTTCGCAATAGTGCTAACCAAAAAGACTTCGACGATTTTAAACTAAAGTGTTGAGTAAACTTTCAAAAATTCGAATGTACCAATATTCCAACGTTCAGAAATTTCGAAATTCAAAAAAAAAATTCAGAAATCCCTCCAGGGTATATCCCCGCAGATCCTGTAACAGTAATGCCCCCATACTGTCAAGTTAAGCTCCATTATCTCAATTCCTATGCAATATTTTGAAAAGTGGTCAAATGATAAAACATTTCTGATATTGTGATAATCAACTTATCAGTTGACATCTTTTTTATATCTTTGACAGTGACCGAGAAAATTTTGCTCAAAGTTTAATGTTAGGCAGCTCTAGAGCTTGTACTACAGGTTTTTCGGAATTTCTTTTTTCCGGATTTCACAATTTCTTCACACTTCCTGGTTATTGTCTGTATACAGCTTCAGATTCTCATGAACCTTTGATCGCATACTCCTGCCACGTCACCAGCAGAAGGAAAAATGGCCATTAGATAATGAGATAATCGCTCTCATACAGAGAGAAAAGATTACAAAAGAAGATGCCGATATTTATGAGTGCGTCGTTTCCCCTTGTTCTGGCCGCTTCTGTAACAAAAACCTCAAGTTAATTGGACAGATGAGGGGCAAGAGAAGACTTAAAATTTTTACAAGCTTTAATAGACCAACGAGATGGATTGATACAAAGGAAATTGATGCTAAATTTAGATAGGAAAATGGGTCTTCATGATCAGGGGGAATGAGGGTTTAAGGTATCTGTGAATGGAGTGTGTAGGATTGTAGGGTTAGAAAGATAGTTATTGCAAAAAAACAATTGTTCAGGAATGATAAATGACTACTGTAATACTGTATATATATATATAGTTTTTTTTGGAAATGGTGTTTGGTGGTCTGAAAATGACAATTGGGTTCTAAAAATGTTTGACTGATGTTTTTCGTAAAAACCATTTTAAAAAATGCTGTGAAATTCTAGTACCATATTTTCTTTGATGGCCCAAATTTCGTAAAAAACTTCAGAATTTCCTAAATTTAGAAATTCTGAATTACCTTAATACCTGTAATAGAAGGGCCTCCACACTATCAAGTTTGATCTAATTTTTCTTGGCTCATATGAAAGATACCAAAAAGTGGTCAACTGACCAAACATTTCTGATATTTTGATAAACAATTTATCAGTTTACAACTTATTTATATCTTTGACAAGAACCGAAATAAATTGGTTCAAAGTTGAAAGTTAGGAGCCCTTCTATTACAGATTTTACGGTAGGATTCTGAAACAAAAATAGTCAGAGCTGTGGAAGAGAAACGCCAGTGGAAACGCCAGTGGAAATCGCACAAAGACAACTACCGTAACCTAAAAATATCTTAATGTTAAGGATTTTCTTTGTCGATTTTCGTACGTTTTCAGTCAATTAGAGATAATAAAATAAATCCGGAAATTAAACATTCTTTAGGTTACTGTGGTTGTCTTTGGTTGTCTTTTCAGCCACGGCCACCGGTGTTTTCTTACACAGCTCCGGGTTTTTTTTGTACCAACATAATAATTCTAGCATTTCGTTTTACCTAATATTTTAAGATATCCAACTCCAAAAAATTTGTGATAGTTCTTTCAAAAAATACGAATACGATTTATCTGAGTTCTCACATTCCAGCGTTTGGATAATTGACTCAATCTACAGTAATCGAGTCGCCAGTGTGTTCTCATCCTCTCAAAAAACCCAGTCACTGGAGTTTGATCATGTCCGGTTTATGATCATTCAAGAATTCCCTCCTCATTGCTTTTTTTAGTACCTCAAAACCCTAAAACGTTTATCTTGACTGTGTTTGTGGTTGAGGGGAGACGCGTGAGATTCTTTAAATTGCGCCCTACTATTCCATCTGCATCGTAAATGACGAACAGAGGAATTTCTGCCGTAATGGACAGAAAATGGAGGGAAAAATGAGGGA